CAAGCACTGGGGGCGGCTACTGGCGGCAGTGAACGTGGAGGTCACGGTCCAATCAGACTCTGTGACAGCGTTGGCTTTGACGCAGAAGTTTTCAAACAGCGGACCTGCCCTGAACTTCTTGGGAGCGGAACTGGCGGTTACTTGTGAGGCCTTAGGTTTGGCCGACCTACGACCAGTTCACCTACCAGGAACAGCCAACAAGGAGGCCGACTTTCTCTCTAGGCCTGAAACGTGGGCCCAAGTCACCTTGCCAGCTGCCCTAGAAGGGATTCAGATCGAAACGCCGGCGGAGCGGACGACCAGCTGGTACAGACTGCCGACCCCGGGACCGGACACCACAGAGTGGCAAGAGTCCGAAGCCCTGTTGGCGGCCTGGACGCATCGATCCTGAACTGGATCTGGCGTCAAAAGGGAGAGGAAGGAGCGAAGGCATGGGTCGGAAGGGAGGGCAGGACCGGATGGACTTTTCGGGACCCGTTTCGAGTTCGGTCGAAAGTCGTGGGGGGGGGGGTTGGAACATTCGCGAGTTGAAGACCGAGTTTTCGGGCTCAAATATGGAGCTGACGGTTCCGCTCGCGATTCCGGCGGCCACCGTGGCGACGACCGCTGACTCCTTTCCATGGAAGGTTTACTTGCTTTTCTACCTCGTCGCAACAGGTATCCTAGCCAACTTGGCTTTAGGCATATGGGTCCTACACCGACTGGCCCGAGTTTGGCTCCGACTTCGTCCGCGGTGGAGACCAGAGACGGCAGGAGGGGCGGAGGAGTCGGACCAGGAGGACTTGCCGGAATGGGACGCTATAGCAGAAGCCTGGAACATGGATACAGCAGGGGGCTTGGGCAAAGTGGACGACACGCCACCGAGGGAGATGCACCTCAGGCATCGGACGGGGCGAGAATTCGAACATCGAGCTCAACCGGTGCAGTGGAGGCAACTTCTGGACTAAATGGCCCCGGAGAGGCAGAGGAGCAATGGATCGATGAGGCCGACTTCAACGGCTACAGCACTAATGGATTCACCTGCCTCCCTGAGATCGCCCGAGACGAGGGAGAGGACACCATCGAGGATCGACTCACCGCCGCTGAGGGAATCAGTGAGGGAGTCAGAAGGCATGTCTTGGTTGGTGACCCGGAGGCTGAATTCGAAAGATTCATGGCAACTATGAGGGAGGCAGGAGAGGCGGAAAACCGGCAGGAGGAGACCATGGGCCAGAGACATCGCATGAGGAGGACCAGAAGGACCCTAGACGAAGCGGTGTTTCCTCCTCTACCCCCCGGGCCTCGAGGCGAAGAAGGCGAACACGCAGGGGGTTTGCTGGACTTCGTGAAGAGGAGGAACAAAGGGGGAGAGCAAATGAAGAAAGAGACAAAAGTGACGAGGGCAGTTGAACCGAGACAACAACCCCTGGGAGTACCACATCGGCACGAGGGGAAACCGTGGATGAGGACATCGAGAAAGAGGAGGCAAGACCTGCCAGAGGCCCCCAGAGAACCGCGAGAAGGCGACCAGGGGCCCAAATGGAGGAAAGCGCTACACACAGCGCGTCTCTTTCGGGCGAACAAGAATCGCAAGACTCACACCGTGGAGAAACTGAAGAAGGGCTACTACGCGAACTCATCGAGAAGGGCAAAGATGTCGGTGAGGAGGACGATAGAGAACATCCTACGAAGCCTGGGAGTGCGAGGGAAGGATTCGTGTTGGTCCTTGGAGACGCTGGAACAGGTCGGCGCAGTGCTGAAGGAATCAAACTACAAAGCAGGAGTGACCTACCTGTCGGAGTACAAGCAGCTGTTGATCGAGAGTGGAACGATTTGGTCGCATCAACTACAGAAGGCATATGGACAAGTAGCCAGGGCATTGAAAAGAGCGAAAGGCCCTACGAAGAAAGCGGCGGAAGTGGGCGAGCTCACCTGGATGGTGGCCATGAAGAAGGAGATCAACGAGGAGGCGAAGGGTGTGGTACACAACCCTGCGCTGCTATTCGCCTTCGCCACGATGTGGATGTTGAGGGAAGTGGAATTGGCAGTTCACAAGGGGGACATCTTGGTCGACGCGAAGGAAAGGATAGTGGCTTTGACTTTGAGGGTGGCAAAGAAGGACCAGGAGTGCTTGGGGTCGAAGAGGACATTACAATGCTGCTGCAGTGGAGAGTGCGATTGGTCCGAACCATGCCCGTATAGGATTACATGTGCTGCTCTAGATGCGGTGCCAATCGAAGAGGAGAAGCTGGTGCATGGGGACCTTGAAGAACCAGTTTCAAAGTCGCAAATCATCGCGGCTTGGAGGAGTCTGTTCGGACAACAAGTGTCGGGTCATTCAGGCAGGCGCTCGGGGGCACTCCAATACATCCGAAGAGGGTGGCAAGTACCTCAGGTGGGTTATCTGGGACGGTGGAAATCCAACGTCATCCTACAATATGCGGAGGAGGCGCTGGAGACGATGCCGGTGATGACCAACCCGCACAAGAAGCTGAAGGGTCGCGGCGAAGATGAACCCAAGAAGAAAGACATAGAGATGACCACGACAGAACCCAAAGAATGGACAAAGATTAGAGAGACGGAACACAAGCTGAGGAAGGAGATCACCCACCTGAAGGTCGCGCAGGAGAAGCTGGAGGAGTCGATGGAAAGGTGGGAGACGATCTCGAAACGACACCATGGCCTGCTACCACCGGTGGTGATCTCCAAGATGGGAGTGATACACGCCAACAAGAAACAACCGGTGGCCTCGCCGGTGCTTTCGTGGCACACGAAGTGTGGGTGGTTCTTCGGCTGCTCCATCTTCAGTTCTTCGGCTGCTCCATCTTCAGTTTTGCCATGGATGACTCGAAGGTCACGTGTTTGAAATGCTCCACCCTCGCGCAGAGCACAGAGGAGGCAACAAGCAAGGGTGGAGCTTAAATGGAAGGCTCGATACTTTCTACCAGCGATTTGGAAAAGGGAGTATTCTTCAATTGGGTGGTAGAGTGCTGAGCTTGTCTTGAAAGAAAATGGAACATTTTCTGCAGGACAATAGACGATGCACTAGGGCGGGGGAAGGTGGATTGGCCAATCCATTTTGGCTCAAGCCAACCTTCCAATTTTCTTTCCCCACCCACCCACTCCAGAATAGATGGAGGAGGCAACAAGCAAGGGTGGAGCTTAAATGGAAGGCTCGATACTTTCTACCAGCGATTTGGAAAAGGGAGTATTCTTCAATTGGGTGGTAGAGTGCTGAGCTTGTCCCACCCAAAACACGACCAGTTTAGGCATGCTGTTGGGATGGTTGCCGGTTGCCTGGGTTCAAAGGGGCCAGTGTGTGCAGTGTGGATGAGAATCGTTGCTTGAGGCTGAAGAGGGGGGAACCCACAAAATCTGGCTCACCCCTTGGATGCTTGATGCTACACACACACATATTGTCAGTCGAAGCCTGGATAGGCTCAAGGTGTGGTGGAAAAGATAGTGTGGCGTCGCCCACTTTTAATGGTAGCGGAGCCCTGATAGGGGGCTGGTAGGTAGGTTTTGTCCCAGGCTGGGGCCTGGTTCCACCGGCGCTTAGGGCCATGGAGCGAGTGGGAGAAGAGGCGGAGGTGCCAACCCTTCATCCTGCGGCGAGCGGTGACCTTCGACGGGGGCACCCGGCCTACATCATCGACTACGAGTTCGGGATCCTCACCACGCGAAGATCCCGCATGGGCGGCGGCTGGAGCAGATGAGCCGAGCTCAGGACAAGAAGGGGAGCACCAGCGAAGGGATGTGAGCCAGGTCAGTGGTTGGTGGTGGCGGCGTCTGATGCCAGCTTCGGAGGAATGCCTCAAGGTTGTAGCCAAGGAGGAGCAGCGTGTTTGGTGACACACCCTGGCTTGTTGGAAGGGAAGGCGGGGGCAGTGCCGATCACCTTCCATTCGGCACTGCTGAAGAGAGTGGCGCGGTCAAGCCTGGCTGCCGAGATCGGTCAGGCAGCAGAAGCTGACCAAGCCGACTTCCTGAGGGCGGTCAGGGCGGAGGCGCTCTACGTCGGCTTTGACATCGACCAGTGGCTCTTAGCATGTTGCTCTCTGGAAGTTGGTCACTGTCCTCGACAGTCGCACAGGGTATGACCTGCTGAATGGAGCTGGGCATGAGGGGGCGATAGACATCGCCGCAATGAAGCAGGCCCTGCTCGAGGATGGGGCGAGCCGCCTGGTGCGACGGGTGCCTGGCAATGACCACATTGCGGACGACTTGGCCGAGCTGACGGGCAACGGCAAGTTGATGCTGTCGATCTCGGACATTGAATGGTCCTTGAGAGACACTAAAGCGAAAGCGCTTCGCGAGGACGCTGCGGAGCGGAAACGCAAGTACAGGCAGCGGATCGCGGAACGCCGTGTGGAGGCCGAGCAATTGCGCCAAAGGGGGTAGGGTCGGTCGAAGCCTCGATAGGCTCAAGGCGTGGTGGAAAAGATTGGGTGGCGTCGCCCACTTCTAGTATTCTACATATAGTATCATATAATAAGCCCGTCCTTGTGCGCACGCATATAAATATTATGCACACGTAGTATTGTTCAGAGACCTTTCAAGCCTTTGAGGCTCGGCGTTTGGAAACCCCCTGCTAAGAAGGTTTGCTTTGCGACGTGATGGTTTGAAGCTTGGTATGGCCCGTGATTGGCGTGTGCACCAGGCCAGATGTGTAGCCAGCAAGATCACATGTATCTCTTTAAGTTTGTCCGGCCTTGAGCTGCGAATCGCTCGCAGCGATGGTTTACGACTTGGTGATCGAAGCTTCTTTTGGTGTGGCCAGCCTCGTAGCCACAGCAACACGCGCAACATCAACATCACTGGCAACTGCCGCAGCTGCCACGGCTGCCACAGCCACGGCAACTGCTGCCACAGCCGCAACAGCTATGGCAGTGACTTCTCCAGTGTGGCTTATGTGCGATGGCCGGGGCAGCCACCACAGCTGCTGGTGGCTAAAATGGTGGTGGACTTTACTCACGAACAGACGAATGGATTGCAGCTGGGGAGTCGGTGCTTTTGGGGAGGTGGTGGATTTGAAAAAGATTTCCCATGCTGTGCTGCAGCACCGGCAGCTGGGGAGAGCTGCTTTGTGGTGCAGCTTTGGAGATGTGGTGTCGAATCGTGAAACTGTTTTGGTCATGGAGCTGCTTGACGACCTGATGCAAACCTACACCAGCCGCAACCTGTGGCACAATGAAGATATGGTCCGGCTGGATGTTGCATACGTAGTTGATGATGCCCTGCAGCACATCCACCAGCAGAAGGTTTTCCACAGAGATGTGAAGCCAGGAAACCTTTTGATGGATGCACTCGGCAGGTGCAGGATATGCGATTTAAGCTCCTGGTACTGTGACTCTGTAGGGTCGGACTTGCGTTGGCCAGTTACACATTCAGCGAAGCTCGGCAGCATTTGATTTTGTAAGCTCTTGGCTTGCCTTGTGTAAGGCCAGTGTAAGCGGGCTGAGTGTGGCAGGCCAGGTTTCAGGGCGCGTCGATTGTCTGATGATGTGGGCAATGGATGCTACTGGATGCCAATGGTATACATGCCATGCGTGTTCCTGTGACTTGTCATACCTGTCATGCCTGCAGTACATGCGACGTATGCCATGCCTTGACCTACGTTGACCGACTGTTGACCGGCAGACCTGGCGTGAGGCAAGCCCTGCGGTGAGAGTGGCAAAGCTGGGGCAGTTTCAAGCCGTTCGACATATGCTTCTAGTTGCCAGCCCTTCGCTTCGGTTCAAACCAAAGCCAAGTTCCTGTGGCGCGTGCTGAAGAAATGACCGGCGTTGAGAGATTTGAGAATATGCGTTGAATCACCGCGAGCATCGTCCTTTTCTTCAGCATTTTTTCTACTCACTCGTGTTTCTTCATGTTTCTTCAGCCGATTATTTTCAAACATTCTTTCTGGTACTTCATCTGAAATTTTCGTTGGCATTCTTTTTGTCATTGTTTCTGACGCCAGTTTGCTAAAATCTCAGGGGCTTGTTCCTTGTGCTGTCTAGACACAGATGCACCCAGTCCCCCAAGCATCCCAGTGTTTCATTCGACATGGTCCCATTCTCAAGCAATCCAAATTTGGTCGGATGCAGCTAAAATCCGACCTGCCAGGATGTGGTGACACTTCGCGGTACGCTTCCTGACTGTGCGGCTGCCCCCTGCACCTCCAACATCCCTTGGCAGGCCTCGACCAACTGGGCATGCGTCGACCGGTGGAAAGGACAGGAAATGAATGACTCCAGCAATAAAAGGTGCTATCAACCTTTTGGTTGGCTTGTGTTGTGGCTAAGTTATTTCAGCATGGTGGCAGTGCTTTTCGTTGCTTCACCTTGTTCCCCAATAGCCATGCTATGGGGTCTTGCAAAACTAATAAGCGGACGGGCGCCGTCGGGTCACCGTCAGAGCTGGTGGGCGGATGGTGTCTCGGTCATGTTTTGATGGCGTCCGGGTCATGTGATGCTGGTGTCCCGGTCATGTTTTGATGGTGTCCCGATCATGTTTTGATTGTGACCCAGTCATGTTGTGATGGTGTCCCGGTCCTGTTTTGATGGTGTCCCGGTCATGTTTTGATGGTGTCCCGGTCATGTTTTGATGGTGTCCGGTCACCTTGTGATGGCGTCCTGGATATGTTGTGATGGTGTCTCGGTCATGTTGTGATGGTGTCCCGGTCATGTTTTGATGGTGTCCCGG